AGTATCCTAGATGTAAATTTCGTCTAGGATACTTAGGATAGTGGATATCCTAGATGGAAATTCCATCTAGAATGCAAACTAGACGGGATTCATTTTCGTCTAGGATGCTTTTTAGACGGAAATTTCGTCTAAGATACTGTATCATAGACGGAATTTTACTGGACCAACATCCTAGACGAAATTCCGTCTAAAATAGACTTTTTAGACGGAAATTTGTCTTTTCTAGACGGAATTTTCCGTCTAGGATATTCCGTTTTTTACTAGTGATCAGACATTTTGAAAAAACGTTTCTATAAAATTGTGCAACCAAACACCCCCTAAGACTGAGCAAGAATTGAGTTGAGACAGCGCCTTTATGAGCTCAATGTACTTAATAACTACTCACCATCTAACAGCAGTACAAATTACATACATTTGCCCATCAGTGGCAATATCACTATCAATAGGGGTGTCCAATTGGATTTTCGGACAAGATCCGGCTCAGACTAGACCGGGCCCAGGAGAAGCCCAGAAAATCCGGGTTGATCAGGCTCTGGACCCGAGTCCGGGCTTTGTTGGTGAAGCCTGACCTGGGCTAGGCCCAGCCCGCTTATTAAATTTATATATATGTTATATATTTTTTATATTTAATTATATTATGATATGACTATTAATGTATATTTATATATATTTATAAGTGTATATGATGTTTTTAAGAAAATTGGTTGTAGTCCTAAGTGTATATAGTTGTATATATTTAAGTAGGCAAGTATATAATTGTACAACTATATACATACTTGTAAGTATACAAGTATATTATATTATATACTTATATATATATATATATACTCTTATCATGGTATAGATACTAAGATATAAGCATATAAGTATATAAGTATATATAATGTAATTATAAGTATATATAATGTAGTTATATATTATATAATGTAGTTATATAAGTATATATAATATACTTATATGTGTATATTATAGACTTAGAGTTAAGTATATTTTATATAAGTGCATATATTTTTTATATTTAATTATATTATGATATGGTCATTAACATACACTTATATATATTTCTAAGTGTACATGATTTTTTTAAGGAAAATGGTCGTAGCCTCCTAGTCCTAAGTGTATATTGTTGTATATATTTAAGTATGCAAGTATATATATGTACAACTACACACACTGTTATAGATATACAACTATATTATATTATATACTTATATATATACTCTTACCCTGGTATAGGTACTAAGATATGAGTATATATAATGTAGTTGTAGCTATACTTATATGTGTATATTATAGACTGATCTTAGACTTACGTGTATTTTATATAAGTACATAAGTATAATTATATATAAGTATATCATATAAGTAAAGTATATAACTATACTTAGATAAGCATAATATAAGTATGTAACAAATACATATATAACTATATAATACATATTTATAAATAATATGCTTATGTGATTCTCTCTCTCTCTCTCAAGTTATAACTTGTAACTACATAAAATATACTTACATATAATATATGTATATATAATATATAGCTATATACTAATATGTAAGTATATACTAACACTTACTAGCTTAGTGTTTAATTAGTTGTTGCAATATATGCATGAAGTAACCATGGCTCTCTCTCTGTGCTTGACAGTAACAAATGATTTTTGGGTTCTAACGGATGATGCTCTCTGACCCATATATATATATAAAATAAAACACAACCATCGATCAATTAAAAAAATTATCTCAAAATTATGAATAAGATGAAATTATTGCGTCTCAAACTTTATAAATCATTGGCTTAATTAATAAGAACGAATCCAGACGCCAGCAAACAACAACAATGAAGATAATAAAATATAATGTGTATTCAGTCAAGCAATCATACTGCATGAAAAATAACATTCAAATTAAAACTTGGTCATGGATATATATATAGTGATGTATGAATTGTCCAACTTCGATCACATCAGTAATTTTTCTCATCTTGGTGAGAGCTGAGGATGTCTAGCAGAACACAAGATCTCCGTCCCAACGACAATGATCATTAACTCTCCGATCACTAGTTTGAGTATTCCGTATGGATTTTTCTAAACTCCCAAACAGTTTAAACCATTTGGAATTATTATCCCAAACGGTTCCAACCGTTTGGGCTATCTTGATTTGCCCAAACGGTTCCAATAACCGTTTGGACTGTCATGTTTTGTACTAGTGACTCTCTCCACATATATATTCCTCTCAATGAGGCCAACTTCATCTGGAACAAAGCTTGGATCGCGATCTAAGAGAGATAGTTGTGGTCTCTGAAAGAGAGAGAGAGAGAGAGAGAGAGAGAGAGAGAGAGAGAGAGAGGATCACGATCTTACTACGGTCTGAGAGAGATCGAGGATATTGACGATTTGAGAGAGAGAGAGAGGAGGAGTGGGGGATCGCAATCGCCCGGGAGTCGAAGAAAGGAATTGGAAATGACATCCATATCATATCAGCTTCATTTCAGATTTAAAGCCTGATTACGTACGATTGTATCAATTCGGAATTTGTAAATTAATACTTTCTCATCGAAACACTCAAGTTGGTCCGATTCTAGAATTTGAAATAAAATAGTAGCTTCCGTACAGACCGTTAATTAATTCAAACATTGATTTCCTCCGATGCCACAACATCAACCAGCTTCTAATAAAAATGTTGTTGTTAAGTGTACGTGTTCTATAAATCTTTCTCGTGCTACACAATTACCTTGATTTGTGAAGCTTGTTCCGAAATTGCGAGCTTTGTAAAATCATCCAATCACAACATGGTAAATGGTAATGATCCGTATAGTTTTGACCATCGTTAGTGACAAAAGAGGCAGCAATTTTGTGATGGTTGTGAGTGCTCACGTATGAAGCATTAGAGATCCAGATGGATATAACCAGACTGATGCAAATAATTCATTCGTTTATGGCTGATTGCCACCACGGGCCTTGGGGTGGGCATAGGCCAGGCGGCCCGTGACCTGGCCCGCCGAGTTCAAGGCCGGGTCGGGTCCGACCTAGGCCTGTCCAGGTTAGAGTGGTCGGATCTATTTCTCTGATCCCATGTCTGGAATTGGACCCGGCCCGGCCCACGACCCGCCTAGGACGGGCCGGGTTGGGCCCGGCTCACAACCCACGGGTTGTCGGTTGGCCCGTGAGTTTTTTAACTTTTTTATTTTTAATTTGTAAACTATATGAACTTTACATTTGTATCTATTAAATTATATTTAAATTATTTTTTCTAATTTAGTCTTTATTTAAAATAATATACACACACAGTGACACACATTATACAAAGATAAGACATCACAACACAAAGATATATATGGTTCGGACTCCGATGGAAGACCTACATCCACATGGAGTTAATAACTTTTATTCAGTTTAAATTTAAATTATAAATATAAGAGAAAAAAGCAAAAAATGTTTACCATTAATAATTAAGGAGCCAAAATCTTCCAAGTTGCATTCACCAAATTCTTCAAGGAAAGGCCTGGTTTACTATCCTTGTGACCGTTCTTCTGCATCGACCCAGTCTTTTAAGCACACACACATCTCCATGTGTGCTATTGTAAATTGTGTTCTCCTTTCGAAAACGAATCTTCAGCTTGCTGAAAATGTACTTTTGGATGCGATCGTAAAAGCAGGGGGAGTTAATATATCTCTAGTCGTTGTATATAGAACATGGTAGTTGTGGGGTGAGCCGGGTCGATGGTGGGCTAGATCAAGATGGCCCGGACCAAATTCTCTCGTCCCGAATCCGGAGCTAGATCCAGCCCGACCCATAACCCAAGTATATTACGGGTCGGGTCGGACCCGGCCCACTACGGGCCGGGCCGGGTTGTGACCCATGCGGGGCTGGGCCGCCCGCAGGTCAACCCGGCCCGCGTCCAACCCTACACCGGCCAAAAGCCGTTGCAGTCAGTGCGGGTTAAACTTAGCCAAACCCAAACCCGAAAACCTGCATCCTTGAAAGGAAGGGTAAATTGGTAACTCTATCTGTCCCATAAAACATTAGGACAATTTCGTAAAAATAAAGTCGATCGAGGCGGGAAGCTTATTGAGATTTCCCCCTCTTTTTAAAACCCCAATTTCATTCAATCGATCTATCTCGATCTCGATTGAGAGAGATGGCGAAAAGGACATCTGAGGGGAGCGGGGCGGCGTCGTCCAAATCTCCGGAGAAACCAGCGGCCACGGAGACAGCAGCGAAAGCTCCGGCGGCGGCGGGGGAGACATTGTGCGCCGAGTGGTGAAGGATAAGCTCTCTGAGCTGGCCGCTTCCTGTTCCTCTCGCAAGAGCAAAAATAGCAAAGATGAAGAGGGAGAAGGAGAAGAGATGTCCGTACAAAAAGACGCCCTCCTCGCTTTCGCTGAAAGCACTCGGATCTTCATCCATTACCTCTCCGCCACGTAATCTCTCTTTGCTCTCTTTTAGATTTTAGGGCAAAATTTCTAGGGTTTATGTGCCTGTTGAAATGTGCCCTAGTTTTGGGTATTGAAATTAGGGTTTTTGTGCGTTTTTGTTTTAGGATGGGGTTTCAAGGGTTTCAGGAGCATTTACTTGTTCGTAAATTTTGTTATTTTGGAGGTACGAGAAGTGTTTCCTGGAGAAATGATGAGGGTTTTAAATGAGATGGGCATTTTTTGATTGTTTCAGAAACTAAGATGTTTTTTTTATATAAAGGGTGAAATTTTTAGGGCTTCTTTGATTTGGATTGTGCACTTGTTTTAAGATAGAAAGTCATTTCTTTTTGTGTATTTTCACCGAAGGATGGATCTTTTAGGGTTTCAGTAGCCTTCACCAGGGATTTTTAGTGGAATGGGAGGTGTTTCGAGAAATAGGTAAAGGGGATTTGTAATGAGATGAGGATTTTTTTTGGTTTTTTTGGGATACTTTCACCAAATGAAATGCTATTTTTAGACCATCTCCAACGCGACGCTATTTTGCCGCAAAAAGCGGATTTGCCGCTGCTCCGGAGCTCCAACGCGGCGCCAATTCTCGCTGCATTTTAGCGGGGATGAACAGCGCGACGCTATATTTGGCGTCGCACTATTCATCTCCGCATTACTGTTTCTTTTATTTTTTTTTAATTTTTTTTTAAATTTTACCTTATATTTTTATGTATTTACAACTTGACCCCAATTATTTTATTACATGTATAAAACAACCCTAATAATATTTAAATTTTATAATTTTACCCCAATTGTATAATTTAGACAAAATAAATTATTTTTACACACATAATATAAAACTTCATTAAAATAAAACATAAAATACAAACTAAACATGGTGACGTTACTTAAGATGGACAAGCAACTCTCAATAATCTGGTAGATCGGGGCCAGAGTGTCCAATATCATTGAAATAATTGCCAAAATTAGAAGCAGACCCTTGTTCTTGTTGATTTCTTTTTTGTATTATTTTAATCTGTTGAGCTCGAACGTACTCATGCACGTTTGGATCAGCAATGGAATTCAAATCTTTCATTATAATTTTCCATTCATCTCTATCTTTTTTCATGGCTATCTTTTCTCGTTCGATATCAAACGCTACTTGCCTGTCCAAGCTCGCCTTGTCTAACCTGTCTATAAGTCAGTTGCTGGAGGTCTCGATGGAGTCCACTACACTTGACTCATGATCATCATTTTTCCTTTTCAATTTAACTTTTTTTACCCCAATAGGTCGTTCAGATGGAGTAAATGATGACAGTCCAGGAGATGTTGATATAGGAGATTCCGGAGTGGGATTATCTGATTGTGACGAGTCGAAGTTCACACTTTAGGATTGTCTTCGACCAACTTGTCTTGCTGTGGGGACATCATCTTTAAATTTTTTAAAATTTTTAACCATATTCCAGACATGATCAAATTTGAAACCTTTTTTGTACTTTGGTTCTTGCATAAATAACATCTTTGCTCGAACTAACTGTAAATTATAGTGAACATCAAGTTATGTATTTCAACAATAATAATAAAATTCAAACGATAATTAATAGAATACTTACAATATCTTCATCTGAAGCACCACTTGGATTCAGATTCTCTACTTGTCTCAAGCACGCATTCAATTTCCTTACTTCATTACTTATGATTTCCATTCGAGAACGAATTGATCGGCTCGTACGCACATCAGAATTTTGGTCTCGAAGTTCATTGTATCTGTCCTCCACACGAGACCAAAATGCATCCTGAGACTGGTTTCTACTGATAATAGGGTCTTGAGAAATATCCAAGAATACTTGACAAAGGAGCACATCTTCAGTAACCGTGTACCCAGTTGATCGAACAGACATTTTTTGTAAAAAGTGGTTGGTTTGGAGATCAGAAATACTTTGAAGAAATACTTCGAATTGGGTGGCTTGAAGTAGAAACCGTGAATGTTATTTATAGCCAATCCAAATTTGTTTTTTTTGTTTGAATTTGAATTTGAATTTGAATTTGAATTTGAATTTGAATTTGAATTTGAATTTGAATTTGCGGTTGGTTTGAATTTGTCGGTGGTCAACATTTGAAATTGAATCATTTTGTACAAACTGATCAGCTTTACACATTATCCAACGTTGTCGGTGGGAATCAATTTTTGAAATCAGGTCAGCTTTACACATTGTCCAACGTATACACAGCTCAGCTCTCCTTGAATTGTGTGAAAGCTTTGTACGAGTGAGAATCAATTTTTAAAATCAGGTCAGCTTAACACATTGTCCAACGTATACACAGCTCAGCTCTCCTTGAATTGTGTGAAAGCTTTGTACGAGTTGGAATCAATTTTTGAAATCAGGTCAGCTTTACACATTGTCCAACGTATACACAGCTCAGCTCTCATTGAATCGTGTGAAAGCTTTGTACGAGTGAGAATCAATTTTTGAAATCAGGTCAGCTTAACACACTGTCCAACGTATACACAGCTCAGCTCTCCTTGAATTGTGTGAAAGCTTTGTACGAGTGGGAATCAATTTTTGAAATCAGGTCAGCTTTACACATTATCCAACGTATACACAGCTCAACTCTCATTGAATTGTGTGAAAGCTTTGTACGGGTGAGAATCAATTTTTGAAATCAGGTCAGCTTTACACATTGTCCAACGTATACACAGCTCAGCTCTCCTTGAATTGTGTGAAAGCTTTGTACGAGTGGGAATCAAATTTTGAAATCAGGTCAGCTTTACACATTGTCCAACATATACAGAAAGCATTTCCTAAAATCAGCTCAACTTTACACATTGTTCAATGTATACAGCTAAGCAAAGTTTTATAAATAGCATACTAGATTAGGTACATCCACACAATTACTCGTTGTTGTGTTAAAATTATTATTCTCCATTTCTGCATACTTCAGTCATTCTTTTCTTACTTCAAAAATGAATTTCGATGTTGGAGGTCCATCATACTTATCATCATCTTCATCTTCGGATGATGATAATTTTCTGTCCAATATCATTGCAGAGATTGATGAAACCGAAAAAGTAATTTGCGAGTACATCAACAACAACATGATCCTCGTTAACAGTTTACATCAACACAACTACCAACCGATCCATGGTGGCTCGATTCCCGGTCATGCAGTGATCAACCGCGATCGAGAAAATGCGCATCGGAATTTGGTCATAGATTACTTTGCCGATAATCCACGTTTTGGAAAAGATATGTTTCGTCGTCGATATCGGATGTCAAGAAGTTTGTTCCTTCGTATTGTTGATGCAGTGAAAGATCATGACTATTACTTCCAACAACGAAGTGATGGACTTGGTAGAATGAGATTATCACCGTTATAGAAAGTAACAGCTGTTTTTCGCATGTTGGCATACGGTCTACCAGCTGATGCTACGGACGAATACGTTAAAATAGGTGAGTCAACAGCAATTGAAAGTATGACAAAATTTTGTCGTGCTATGGTGGAAATATTCGCAGAGCGGTATCTACGAACACCTAACGCTAACGATATTGCTAGGCTACTCTATATTGGAAAAAAACATGGTTTTCCAGGAATGTTAGGAAGTCTTGATTGTATGCATTGGAAATGGAAAATTTGTCCAACAGCATGGTCTGGGCAATACACAGGATGTAGTGGGTCACCAACTATTATCCTCGAAGTTGTGGCAGATTATGATCTTTGGATATGGCACGCATATTTTGGTATGCCAGGCACTAATAATGATATCAATGTGCTGGAGTCATCTAATCTTTTCTCTAACCTAGCTCAAGGTATTGCTCCTCCCGCTCACTATGTTATTCAAGGAAAAGAGTATAATATGGGTTATTATTTAGCTGATGGTATATATCCGAAATGGGCTACTATTGTACAAACAATCCAACAACCACAAGGTAGGAAGAAAAAATATTTTGCCATGAAACAGGGAGCATGTAGAAAAGATGTAGAACGTGCGTTCGGAGTTCTCTAATCACGATTTGTAATCGTGGCAGGATCAACACGTTTTTGGAAAAAACATGTATTACATGACATAATGACTGCATGCATTATTATGCACAATATGATAATCGAGGATGAACGTGATCTTTATGCACCAATTCAAGAAGTGAGGGAAGCACCAACACCAGAAGTTGATATGGTAGCAGATGAAACTACAAGATTTACTCAATTTATTGCACGTTACGGAAAAATCAAGGATAAAGATGCCCATATTGCGCTTCGTAATGCATTGATAGATCATCTATGGGAGGAATACACTAATTCAGATAGTTAAGAGCATACTAAATTTGTAATTTTTACATTGTTATTAATGTTTAATTATTTTCTTACATTTTATTTTCTGTTGTGTTCTTGAATGTAATATTTTGGCAATACTAATAATAGGTATATAATATTTTATTGTTTTATTAGTTTAATTTTTTAAATAATAAATTATTTTGTTTGGAAAATATGTGAAAAAATAAAATTTGATATGTGAGGTTAATTGTTGAAATAGTTAAAAATATAGGGGATAAAAAATAATCATATAAAAGTAGATAAAAAGAAAGATACTGAGAATATTCCTTTTTGGTGTAAAAAATGGTGTAATGGGTTGGAGATGAATTACTGTTAGATGTGATTTTTGCACCATTTTGGTGTAAAATTTGCACCATTTTGAGGCAAAGGGTTGGAGATGCCCTTAGTTATAGGCACTCTTCAGCATTTTATTAAAAAACTAGGACAAACGGCTAGAGAGTTTGCAACTTGAGTTCTCTAAACGAGTAAATATCAAACAATATATTTCAATTTCTACTTATTCCCTATCCAAATATATATAATATTGTGTTGGGCTTTCCCAACTTAATCTTTAAGATGTTTTATTTCTGATAAGAATCCTGATGTGTATTAGTGATCCATTGTGTTGTCTATCTCCATGGGCTTTCCATTTCCCGTATTCATGTGTGATGTGTCTGCTTTGGTAATGAAGCTTCTAGGTTTTATGCATTTAGATATTCACTGTCATCAAGTCTTTTTTTTGGTCTATAGGGCCTGTTCATTTATTTCCTAAAAACCAAGAAATGGAAATGGAAAAGGTGGAAATCTCAAAATAATCCATTTCTTCTATTTTCATCCCTAAAACTTACCCACAACATCCAATAAAATATTATTTTCATCCAACAACTCATCCACATCATCTAATAAAATATTATTTTCATCTAACCACTCATCCACCACATCTAATAAAATATTATTTTCATCTAACAACTCATCCATCACATCTAATAAAATATTATTTTCATCCAAACATCACTCAACTCATCTCTTTTCATCATTTCAAATCACTCACATCATCGAATAAAATATTATAACAATTCACCTCATCTCATTAACATTTCATTTCTTTGTTTTCATCCCAAAAAGTTGTGAAAACACTTTTCTTAATCTTTCTTCACATCACCCAATAATACAATGACAACTCATCTCATCTCATTTCATTTCTTATTTTTAAGAATGAACCAAACAAAAGAAAACAACAAAACTACAGGAAATAGGTTTCTTATAATTCATTTCCTTATTTTTTTCGCCAACCGAACAACATCAAAACTAGTTTTCTTAAAAAATCACTCACATCATCCAATAATAATGTGACAACTCATCTCATCTCATCTCCATTTCTTTGATTTTCTTTTTTTTTTAGCCAACCAAACAATTCAAAAACCCATTTTTATTAGAAATAGTTTTCTATTTCTTTGATTTCCCATTTTTTTAAGGCAAACGAACAGGCCCTTAAAAGAAACTTGATCACCACTATATAAATAAATATTCAAAAGTTTTTTTTTTCTTTTGAGATAATAATTTTTCTTAGAGGTTTCTTTTCTGACTGTTGTTTCTCCTCTGAGAATATATCTTCTAAGTTTTCCACTAGCCTAAATGTCCCCTAAATATATTTGCTAACTCATTACTTTAATTGATGTAGAATAAATAAATAGATAAATCCCTCTCGCAAATCAATTGCCCTTTTGTGCTTAAACTCTGATCGTATGTTGCATTATCTTTCTTAAGTATTGTTCAAGGTGTGCACCTGTAACAATTTCCTTGGGTTGCCCATGTCATCTTAGTCACAGCGTCACTTTTCTTACATGGGTGCTTCATAGGTTATCTATAACCCCATACATAAAATTGGAACATTTGGCGGGTACTCCTTCCTTTTGACATGTCATGAAATCTATTTTAGGTGTAATCATAAAATCTATTTTAGGTGTATCTTGAACATGGTAGTGATTGAGGAGTTATATATAATTCATGAATGAGAGGGGTTTGCACTTTGCAGATAGTTTTGATTAATAGATTCTTTTATGTATTTCAACCACTTTCTTCACAAGGGATATACATTGTAAAGGTTGTTCATGTAACTATTGTTTGATGTCAGCTAGAAGTTTATCTGACCAATTACCATATTTGAGTAGTGAGTACAATGTATAACTTAATGTTATGTGTTTGTCCATCTTGTATCCAAAATTATCTGTATCCTGAATCTTTTCGATTCTTCATGTCTTGATACCACATCATGTGGTATCTGTATCTGATATGTTTGCAGCTTAAACTGCATTTTAGCTTCGTTTGCTAAGATTTTTGTTATTGAGGGAAACTTTGGTTATTCTTCTTTGTTGAGTTCCCTTTCGTCAAGCAATTGAACTTCATTAATTCATGATTGTTGATGGTGTTATGTGCATTTACCACTGCGTCTTTTCCCCTCTGCTACTTTGTTATGGATGAATGGGATGCATATTAAATGAACTATAAATTTGTTTAGTTATTTGTGTTTACTGTCTGCCTTTGGAAGATGGAATGTCTTTGCTAATCTTTAGTCACCTCAAGATTATCAACATATACTAATGATTTTGCCTAGTATTTTTTCTTCAAGCAATAAAATCAGCTAAAACAACTTCCAGTCGTGTGATAGATATGCACCTTCTTTTGGATTCTGCAACTGAAATTTGTCGCTTGTCGCATGAGTTTTAACTTTTTTTTTCCTTTGAGAAGAACAACGGGGACTATAAACCTCAGCTGCATTTTTTTGTCCTTTCTGATCAAAAGATGGTTGTAATACGATCAATGATTATACCCCACAAGACCACAGACCAAAGTTATGACCACATCAAGTGTTTCTAAAGCTTTACATCATGTAGCAAAAAAACTACCCCAAGCCAGAACAGGAGCCCAATGTGAATTTGTCATGAACTTTTCTCTATTGTATTTTATATTCACAATTGGATGATTATAACTTATGCCTACCTTTTACAATCTGTTTTCCTAGTAAGCTGGATATGGGAACATGATACAATTACAATAATTTGTAGGGCCAATGACATCTGTAAGGAATCGAGGAGACAAACAATCAATGCTGATGATGTTCTCAAGGCAATTGAGGAAATTGAGTTTCCTGAATTCATTGAGCCACTAAGAGCTTCTTTGGAAGGTTAGTAAGCTTTGCACTTCTTACCATTTAATTGAGAATGAGATATGTCTTATTATGTTTTCTTTTTTTGTCTTAATAGCTGTGTTTTATCGCTTCATCAGTTTAATGTTGCTTCGTATTAAGTTGGAGGTTGCCCCTATATTAGTGGATAAAAAAGAGAGAAAACTGTTCGCGATGGTTTGTTCATGTGCAACAGAGACCACCAAATGCACCAATTAGGGGGAGTCTTAAGATTATAATTAATTAGAAAAGATTAGAGGTAGGCCTAAGAGAGCTTCGGTAGATACTATTAAGAAGCATATACTAACGCTCAACTTAGTGGAGGAGACAACCTTCAGCAGTACTACTAAATGGGATAGTAGGATTCATATAGCCGACCATAAAAATTTTGGATAAAGGCTTTGTTATTGTTGTTATCCCTTTTATTAGTGTGGATGATATTTCTCTTCAATCGCATGTGTATGCACTTATTTCTCTTTATCCACTACTTATATAATAGCGTCAGGCTGTCCTGCCAACTGCTCTGGTCTGCCATGACCCTGCCATCCGGGTCTGGGTGCAAGTCTGATAGCATCTCACTTATCCTTCCCAAATTATTATAGTACTTTCTTGCAGCTGTGAGTGTAAATCAGCTTTGACTGCACTCAAATGTCACCCTACTCAACCAGCAAGTTCGTGGTTTGCTCTCCAGTCTCCAACAGATATTCCTCTTCGTTAAGTCTCAATGGCAGCATCACCATTACTTTGCCACCTCTTCTTGCTGCTCTTGCATCCGCTTTTCTCTTGCTGATGTAGTTGTCCTTAATTTGCTGCCTTGCCGCCTTACTTTGCTGCCTTCTGTTGCAATCCTTTCCTCTCAGTTACTAAGAACTTTATGGAGTATATAACATCCTTCGTGCTGTTTTATTGTTCATCTTCTCCTTAGCTTTGGCAGCTCCTAAAAAAAAGTTTAACATACAGGACATTTTGTAATTAGGACGAACAATATTCCTTTACCTTATATCTGGATTAGGAAACATCATCTGTTAACTTTTCAGGAGTTGCAAAATTTTAATGTTGTGTGTAATTCAGTCAACAAAACCCTGGATTATCAAGCATCTAGTAAGTTTCTACCACACAAAGTCATGATGCACGCCTGTCTGTAGCTAACCCATCCAATTTCATCTAAATGAGAATTAAGAGGAAATATAAAATTTAGTTACAGCTTCCTATGGCTTTATTTTATATAATTTACTTTGATACTTTTTTCTAATTTCTTGTCTTTTTTTTCCCATAATTCTTCTGGTTGATTTATTCTATGCATATGTATCTGGGATATCTAGACTCCAAAAACTTCATTTTTCCAGGAATTCTTTTTTCAGATTGATTCACGTACACGTGAATGAACGTTATAACAGAAAAAAGAAGAAAAAGTGAGAGTTTTATTCAACTGACTCAGCCAAAGAATCTATCTGTTCAAAGCACAAGTATTTTTTCTTTCTTATCCGGATGATTCTTTTTCCTTTAATTTCATTTCTTTTCTTTGAGTGCTTGAATTTTTAGCAGGCTTCTTAACATTTGTCTCACATGGAATGTATATACCCTTTACCTATATAAACTGAGGTGCAAGAAGAATTCTTTTCATTGATGAACATAAAATATGCATGTTAAAGAACTCACTTTCTTGTGAACTACGGTCCTCATAGTGGTGTCTTGTTTGATCCATGTATAGTTAATATGTTCAACCTTTTCCCAATAGTTATTTAAATCCTGTTAAATATGTCGTAAAACATTTTCCCTTCTATTAGCCTTCACCTTGTCTACTAATATTGCCAGCTGATAGAATGCAGGAAGATATGTTATATTTTACTGAATGTTTAATTAATGGCATGGATGATATTTGGAATACATTATTACTTGGAGTTATTCGTGGGAGTGATATGGAGAATGTGCTCCTTCTGCGGCGCAATCTAGTTAAAAGCTAGCCAGTTTCAGCTTGTCTGCATCCTTGGATTTAAAATTTTAACTTCATGTGAAATTTATACTTTGTTCCGAAGGAAATGCTTTTGCTTCTTCTTGTGAAGTACAACCTGAGCGAAACCTGATGGGTAAAGAAACATATGTTTAAACTTCTGCAGGACCATTGTGGAGATCCTCGGGGTGGATTAAATATGTATATGTAAGGAAGGATAAATCAATGATAAACATACAGAACACATGTAATGATTCTAGCTAATAAAATGATATCTTTTGGTGCATTCTGAAGATCTTCATGGTAGTTGCAAGAGGAGTTTGAAGGGATACAGACTTTAGCTGAAAAGAAGTATATCCTTTCGGTACATGTTATTTGGGAGGTATGAACATAAATAACTTGAGAGGTTGAGGAGGATTCTCCTTAATAAAATAAGGGCCTCAATGATTCTCTTTTGGTGTCAGCCTAGTCTTCCATGAACACAAACCTTTGCATGTCAGTTGTTAATATGACAATTGAGTTACCAAACAAAAAAAATGAGAAGAATGTCTTGGCCTGACTGCAGTCTTTAATCTGATATGTTCTCATTTGTTTTGCAGAATTCAGGAAAAAGAATGCGTCTAAGAGGTCTGCAACAAATGCAAAGGCAAGAGAATCACGGAAGAAACAGAGATCCGATAATGAGGAACCTAGAGAGAATGAGGAGCATGCTGAAGAAGTTGCTGAGGAAGAGGAAAAGGAAGAAGGCGAAGAACCTGATGAAAATGAGTAGTGTACTTTTGTTGTATAATCTCATACTGTTGTTGTTGTTTACTTCTGTATACTATGATGAGATGAGATGAGATGGGAGATGCTGGGACGATGAAATTAAGTATCTGTGTACCCATCAAGTTCCTATCGTCATCGGTAGTTTTTTAACTAATTTTACCATTAACAGGTGGATGAAATTGGGTATCTACGTACCCATCTAGTTCCTTTCGGTAGCTTTTTAACTAATTTTACCGTTAACAGGTGCATGTACTGGGGCAAAGTACTAAGATCAAGAATGCACTGTGCACCAAATGTTCTCTCTTTTGAGTTTAGTTCTGCACATCCTAGTACCTCACAAATAATTTAAGTTTAATCCCAATATTATGAGATGTAAATCATGTTCTTTATTCTTTTTTCCTATGATCCAATCAGCAGATAAGCTCGATGACTGGTGTAATAGCATTGTTCAACTTGGATTCGAAGGTGAACCTTCTGATCATCGAATGTATCTGTCAATAATTTACACATGTCATATGAAATGTGCTCAAGCATCGAACATCATATTGTTTATTGGTCTGTTTCACGGGATATGTGCTTTTGTTGGATATTAGTCTTGCCTGCTTAATCTGTGGAAAATTATGAATTTCACTATGTTTTGTTTGTTAACATTATAAATTATGATATTATTTTTTAATTTGGAGGATAATTATTTATCCTTGACGTCTTTCTTATGTGAAAATGTAAAAAACATGTTGCTTCATGTCTTTGGTTTATCTTAAAAAGTTCTGCTTGCAGGCCTACACATTGCCGTGTGCCTTGCACATCCCTATTGCGCCTCAATAGCACGTCAATATATTTCACGGTCTACTAACTAGAATCGTTCATCATATGCCATATGTCAACGAAGAAATTTTCAAAATCGTCTCAACAGAATTTTTTTTAAGAAATAGACCTCATTCACTTTTAGTTATAGAAATCGACCTACTTTGAGTTAATCGCGATACTAATTAGTCGGGATTGCTAACCCCGACTAATTAGTAGCCTAATTACAAGTGGGGTCAAGGAGTCGAGAAGATTTGCGACTGCTAATTAGGCTACTAATTAGTCGGGGTTAGCAACCCCAACTAATTAGTACCGTAATTAATTCAAAGTGAGTCGGTTTCTATAATTAAAAGTGAATGTGATCGATTTCTTTAAAAAAAATTCGGTTTAGGCGACTTTGAAAATTTCTTCTATTGAAAACTGTTAATTATAAATATTTTATTTTTTGAAAAATAAAGTACACAATAAAATGTACAATTGCTAGAGAACCCTTTCGTAAATTGTAACCGGTTATCTAGCCATCGGACAGTACGGCCTATTTCTCCGGTCGGCCCGGTCCAATCCAAGAGACGAGCATTGAATCTAGTCCCGGTCCACAATATCTTTCAACCAATCAACTACGCCCACGTGTCCAACCACGTCACTCGAATTCAACCTCGACGATCCAATTCCAGTAAATACGAACAAACACCCCCATCTCACCACCAAAATCCAATGGCGGTTCGCGCCACCCTTTCCCGATTTCCCGTAGATCAAGAATCCCTAGAATCAAGCGGTCTCCCATGGGGCGTCACCGTGACTCCCTTCGCCCAAGCCGACGAGCACGGGACCTCGCCGGCGTACGGCGGAGACGGCGATCTCCTCCCCCGCTGTGAGGACTGCTGGGCTTATTTCAACTCCTACTGCGAGCTCGAGCAGTGGGCGTGGACTTGTTCTCTTTGTGGAGCGCTCAATGGGTTGACCTCTCGATCAATTGAGAAGTACTCTCAGCCTCAGTCTTGTGCTGAGATGCTTTCTTCCTTCGTTGATCTCGAGATTCCCGGTGAGTTTGCGTTCTGAAAGTTCTAAATTTTGATCCTAAAAGTTTGAATTTGCTTTGAGATGGTTTAAGTTTGACCTAATGAATTCAATTTTAGGTTTCTTATGACTTATGCTGTTGTTATTGAAGTTATAATTTGTTAGATGTGGTCTGCACTTGATGTCAGGATGTGGAAAATTTCAACTTTTTAACAAAATCCAGCATATATATTTACATCCTTCACTTATTACTTCATCACGTGTAGTAAACTAGTAATCATATTATTATTATCAGAATTTTGCTACTCCCTGTATCATAAGGCTGTAATTTTGTCCGGAGATTATTCAAGAAGACTGACCTAAGCAAATTGCTTATTAGAATAAATAACTTCTTTGATCATGCTAATGAAACTACAGCATTGGGTGTAGAACTAATGTGCAACCAGTAATGGCTGCAGGAATTAAGATAAGTCTGTAATAAATGATAATGCTACCAACTCATGCAAAGCAGATCCCATAATGTATACACTCAAGAGAATTTACTGGAAATAAAGATAAGTAGTTTGTGCGCCTAAGATCCAATGAATTCTATATCTGAGTTGTGCAAGCGGGTAAGAGCGAAGAAATAACTTGTCTGGGACAATGCTGAACAATGTGATGCCAAACTTGTTAAACACCATATAACAATGCCTGTAAAATTAGGCTGCATTACATTCCATGAGTTCTCCATATAACTTGTAAACGAAGTGCCCTGGCAATGGCGATCTGTATGCTGTAATTTAATGAGGATGTGAGTAACAAGTGTGTGTGTGTGTGTGTGTGTGTGTGTGTGTGTGTGTGTGTGTGTGTGTATATTGTCTGCTACTTGCAAAACTTCCAGATTCTAGTGATATGAATTGAATACATCAAATGACTCTAAAAGAGCATCCAGTCATGAAGCCATTTTTGTGATGTACGCTCCTTGAAACCAAAATTCATAATCATAATCGTCACAAGACATGACAATATCAACACTATGACCCATGCATTCATATTTTATATAACTTTACATTATCAACAACCATTAGTCGGAACTAGAAAAAAAATGTAATGGTACAACAAACATTTCTTACTGTAGTAAATTAACCATGCATGTAATGGCTTTTTTAACATCATTAGCAGTTAAGACAATCATGACTTTTTGGGAACAATTTCATAGTTTATATTAGCTGGGTACTTCTATCTTGAAGCCATACTCATACGGACCATATCTGATATGTACTCGTATCCATACTGAAACTCCTTGGACACTCCCATATCCATACCGAAACTCCTTGGACACTCCTTGAATATATACATACATTTATTCAGGCATGTACTTAAGCAATACATTGTTTAATTTAGAACACTTGTCAAACATTTCTTGTATGTAAATCCTACACCTCACATCCACTTCTTGAAACTCGTTGGATTTCAAACTATAATTTTAATGATTGTTTGGTTGTCTAGTTCAAAAAACAAGCATTTTTACAATTTATAATGCACATAATAAAAGAAACATAAAATGTTATAGGAATTTTAATTCTCAAAACATGGGAATAAAAAAACATTGATCTCATTTAAACAATTAATTTCAATATATAATATATGTGTATATACGTATTTGTGTAGCTGTGTCCTCATACCCTATTGTTTGCAAATTTGTTATGTCCCATGTCCGTACTCAACCCGTGCAACATAGTTAGTAAAGGCATATTTAACAGATCAGGAGTATTAGGAAAGCCTAAATAAGACAAATCAATTTTACATCACATATAAACTTTGATACTACTAAAAAATATACTCCTTCCTGTCTTTAAGTCCACTAATCCTTTATACAGTTCAATCTTCTTTCTTGGGATGGTGTGGTGAGGATGTGTGTGAGTAACCGCCCGATGACGAAAAAGGTACATTAATGAACCAACATAACCACCATCATTTGGTATTAATAGTCTAAAACATAGAGTTAAAGAATATTAAGCACTCATAAAAGTGTTTGAAATCAGTTTAGAGTCATTAAAACTTAAAAGTAGCAGTTGGGATTTGCTGGTGATTCTCTTTTTTCTAATAGTTGTTTTACCTATTTGGCTAATCTGAAAATTTCTTTGCTAGAGCAGGTTTCTCTAAAACTCCACGTTGTACAAAAAATGAAAATGATCAACTTTTGTTGGATCAAAAGGTGACTGTAACATGAGCTCTTGTCCAATTCAACATCATATGAGCACATGCCAAGACAACGTTTTTAATAATTTATTTTCCCGCTAAAATCATTTCTTTGTGACACATTCAAATCTGAGTAAATTATCAAAATTTTTATACAATAAATGTCCTCAGAGATCAATATCATCAACAGAGCATCAAACCAGGAGTATAATCTAAGAAATGTTCTGGTGTAGTAAGAATCTATTCATTTGGATAAATCCGAGCATACCAAAGTTGCTGAAAACCTTATAAAACAATTCAAAAACTTGCCATTTACCTCAGTTCCCATAAATAATGTTCCTATACTATCTTATACCTATCCCGCATTGCTTCTTCCTTTAACACTCTTAAACGATGTCTGGTGGTTTGGTGATTGCTTTAGGACTCGGGAATTCTAACCTTATTTACAGCATTTTATATCAAGAAGGAATATTTGACAAAGACCCACTTCCACCTTTTTAGCTACATATGCTTGCTAGCCAATGTTGCAATTAGTTGATTTCTAAAACATCCCATTAACCCTTAATAGGATAAATAAGCCAGTTTGCCCATTCAGTTAGCCTAATCTGAGATTAATTACCTAATCACACTACCAAATGATACTTCCCCACTCCAATTTAATTGATTATAGTTCTAATGAAATGTTAAGTAAAATCTTGGCCATTGTCCTCAAGTGTTCATTAATTAAAGAAAATCTGTCGACTGTATTTTTTTTAATGGTGTTTCTTGTTTGTACTGGAAATTTTGGACCTTTGAATGTAAGCAATTGCATGTCTATGGTTTCTTGCTTATGCTATTGTAATTTCCTTCTCTTATCATAGATGTGAACATTTTGGCCTGATGGAAGATGTGTTAATTGTTAATTGTAGTGGAAGAATCTGAAGGGATGCAGGCAAGACCAGTATATGTTGCAGCTGTTGATTTATCTTGTAAGTTCTTGCATCTATATATTTTATTGATGTTTTTGTTGTTGGAACTTTGGCATTTATGGGGCTCGAGCTATCCAAATTTTTTGTACTTTCTGGTATATGACTATTTTACATTTCTAATTGGATTGTCAATTATGAGTGGCTTAAATTATGTGCAGTTGCAATACTGTATAACATTTTTCTTATCTGATTATATCATATGATCTCTTTTTTAATAATTGACTTATTGTTTTACTATTTTGAATTTTTCAACTCCTGCTAGTTTTGTGGTTTTACTGTTTTATTTCTTGCTGCCTGTTTTCTATAACATTTTAGTTTTCAGGGGACCGCTCAAGTAGATGTGTTACCATCTAAACATTAAGGTTTTCATCTAGCTTGTTTTATATGTTTGGTAAGTGCATATGCTTTCTGGTGTAATCCTGTAATTCCTGTTTATTTTTCTAATGGCACTTATCCATGTATTTCCTACACTTTTGTTTCTTTTTGAATTATGTATTTTGGGTGTTCTAGCTTCCGACTGCTTCAAGCTTGCCATTCATGCTGCAGTATGATTCTTTATTTTCTTCATATATTGTATGTGCTGTATGATTTTTCATTTTCTTTATTGTTTTTGTTGCAGCTTCTGAAGAATTTTTAGAACTTATCAAGAGTTCCCTTCTAGCAGCTCTTGAAGGTATGTGGACTCATACAGCGTATCAACTTGGAGACTTTTAAGTGAAAACAATTTTCACATTATTTTCCATTCATTCCATTTGATACCAGTTCATTTCATTCAACTCTTTTGTAGCCCTGGGACCAGGCTCCTTGTTTGGGCTTGTTGCCTTCAGCCACAAGATTGGGATTTATGACATTCAGGGACCTATACCAGTTGTCAAAAATGTCTTCATCCCTCCTGATTCTGATGGCAAATTACCAGTTGACCTTGAAGACGTAATGCCACTACTTTCGTTTTTGGCTCCTGTAAGTCATGGAGTATTGCCAGATACAGCATCTTGTTACTATTTTTCATGAAATTTAGAACTAACAATAATCAAAGTACTTGGCACTTTCTGCATTTGCAGTACCGGTATGTTAGACTGGCACCCGCATTATTTAAACAAATGCATCGTTAAGGTACAATTATTTGTGAACAGGTAGATACTTGTAAGGATCGAATTGCTGCTGCTTTGGAAACACTGAAACCTACAACCTCCTGGGAGAGGACCACAGGTGCAGGACAATCATTAGAAGGTGTCTTGTTAGGTGGTAGGGGTTTTGGAGTGGCAATGGATGCTCTTATTAGCTACCTCAGTTCAGAATATGGGAATACATTTGCATTGGGTATGGTAAAGACTAAATCACACATCAGCATATTTTCCTGACTTTAGCTGCACACAGAAATAGCATCTGATATTTCCTGTTTGTCATTTTTCTGGAATCTGAAATCTCATAACAACTATTTTGTTTTATTTTACAGCTAGAGTATTTGCCTTCTTATCTGGTCCTCCTGATTATGGAGCTGGACAACTTGACACGAGACGTTATGGAGAGCAGTATGCTAGTAGAAGGGAGGATGCTGACAAGGCTTTGCTTCCTGAGCAGACGCCATTCTACAAGGATCTGGTATTTCCCAGTAAAACATATCATTTATGAACGGCACACATTTAAAATTTGAATTAATGACTATGCATCACAGGCAGCTGTTGCTGTTCAAGCAGGCGTTTGTGTGGATATATTTGCTGTCACAAATGAATACGTAGATTTGGCTTCCTTGAAATTTCTGAGCATCGAGAGTGGTGGTTCTTTGTTATTGTATGCAAATACAGATGATTCGACACTCCCTCAGGACATGTAAGTTTAAAGAGCATTTTAATAAATGCGGTTATGATTGACTTATGTACTTTAAATGCAAACAACAGTTCGAATTGTGTGCCTACTGTCATTATTGAATTTCCATTATCCATACATGCAGCTTAGTAAATGTATCTATATCAAAAATATATAACAGTTCTATGGTATTGTGGCATTCTTTTGTGTTGGAGGTTGGATGTGTATAAGGAACTAAACTATCTTCTACTGTAGGTACCGGATGCTAAGTCGTCCATATGCCTTTGGATGTATTTTGAGATTGAGAACATCATCTGAGTTCAAACTTGGTCGTTCTGTAAGTAACTGACGTTTACTCTGTAGCTTTAAACTCTGGATTGATGCTGATATTTATCCTCCCAAATTTATGGCAGTTTGGCCACTTCTTTCCAGATCCACAATATGAGAATGTTCAGCATGTCATTTGCTGTGATTCCTTCGCGACATATGCTTATGATTTTGAGTTTGCCAATTCGTCTGGCTTTTCAAGGTATAAATTCCTATCCATCTGGAAAAAATATTAGCATGGGCAAGTGTTAATTTTGATATACTGTCACAACTCATATAGATAATGTTTCACTTTAGTGGGGACTGTGTAGAAGATAACCAAAGAAAATGCATAGAAGAAGTTTGTTTTGCCTGAAAATGTGCATCTTTTATAAGGTTTCCGGTTTTGAGCAGGCCTATTAACTTTCTATTCAAGAATTATAGAGTAGATAGTTTGAATGGACTGTTAGTAAATGGGGTAAATGGGTGTGAAATGTCAGCTCATTTTACTAAAAGAGCTATCTAGAGATGGATTGGTAATGAGGCCAAATTTTGTAGTCTATCGAAGTAGATGGACCTCACCAATCAAACTCTTTATTTATTCCAAGTAATGATGGGTTAGGTAAAGAAATGAAATGAATAGTTAATGATGATTGATGATCTTTTGAACGAAGAAGCTAGAATCTCCACAATAATAAAAAAAAGGACAGCAAAGTTCAGGCGGAATGATTTCTCATCATTCCCTTTGCAGGCACACGGGACCTCCTGTTTTACAAATTGCATTTCAATATTCTATTGTTGTCCCAGAGGAGGAAGCTTCAGATGCTGGATCAAAATCTAGCACCAGGTACGGCGGAAAACTTTGAATTGAGAATACTGTTTTGTCTCATGCATGTGCTTTGCCTTATAGCATTTGCTTCCTAAGTGTACATGTAACCAAAATAATTGCTGTTCACTATAAAGTTTATGGTGGTTCATGTCTTGACCTTCCTTTTACTATCTGATATGACATTGGAGTCTACTTTATCTTTCACAAATTATTGGAGGTCATCATGAAATTAAGTATCTTAACTTCCGTCAGACATCCATCTTCTGGTCATATAAACCCATCTCATCATTTATCCATGTGGAAACCGCGACCATATTGGTCTGTGCTGTACAACCTATACCATCTTCAAAATTAAAAAAAAAATAATTATACTTTCCATCTTTGATATCCTGCCTCTGCCTCTTTATCACTTTGTTCATAGTTCTTCTCCGTTGAAAAGAACTTGAAAGATTTTCCATGTAAAGGTTAATCTTGCAAATGCTTTTAAAATGGTAAAACATTAAATGCATCCAATTTTGATATTTATGCTCTGTTATAGTTTATTTGACTCTCTTCTAGAGAAAATGTAAAGAATATTCTGAACATGTAATGAGGCCTATTCATTTCCCCAAATAATTTGGTAATAAAAACCACCTCTATAGATGCAAGTTCTTGTCTTTACGATTTTGTGAGAAAACTACTTGGGAGTTAATACCTAAACTATCAGCCTCAAATGTCTTCTCACATTCACTGAAGATTTTTTTTTTTTTGTTAATTGTTATCTTTTATCTAAATATTTTTTTAATCTTATATTAATATACAATAACAACAACAAAGGCTTTATCCCAAATGTTTAGGGTCAGCTACGGGAATCCTATTTTTTCATTCTCCTCTGTTCCAACCCTTCCAGGTCATCACCTCCGCGAAGTTAAACATCATCATAGCCTCCTTATTTACTTCTAACCAAGTTCTCTTAGATCTACCTCTAGATCTTTTTGCTCCATTAACTATAATATTATCACTTTTCCTCACCGGTGCACTAATAGGTCTTCGTTGTGCATGATCTCTCCCATTTTAACTTTTAGCGTATACTCATTTCTTATTCTATCTTATACTAATATAAAAATAAATATTCTATTTGGATGTTTTGTATAATGGCAAATAATATATTAATTATACCAACACTTGAGGTTATGAAAAATTGTAGAGAATGGAAGGCATCAAATTGACTGCAGGACATAATGTGAAATTTGTAGAAGGGTTATGTGAAGCACTTTTCTTGAAGAAAATTTTGAAGTACAAAAGAGAGAACAGTTTTCTTTGCTTAAAGAGGTCGTATTGTGACATGCGGAACCTTTATATTTGCTAACATTTTGTTACCACATAGATTACTTTTTGGATGTCTTATCACTAGCTATCTACAATATTTTTCCATCTAGAAAAAGTCCCATTGAAGTCAGGTGGAAACTCATGCTGACAAATTTCTAGATACTTGAATTAAATTCTTTCTTATTGCGTCTTTTCTTTTCATTCACACTGTTGAATAGTATCATGTGTGACTTCTGAGATAATCTCATTCATACTCTTCTGAGCTGAAATTTATCTTCCATATTCTTCTACCTATTTTTTTTCGTTTGTTCCCCCTTTTATCACTTTCAGTGTTCATGTTCTACAGAGTACAGAGTCTATTTTAGACACCCGATGGGTTGACTTTCTGCTTTACTCAAGATCAAACAACTCATGTTTGAGATCAGTTAGATTTGCTCTTAAAAAATATCGTATAGTGTTAGAGTAGCGGATCCAATTTTCATGAAAGCTGATGAGCAAAGATCTTTCTACGAATAAAGCTCTCGAGCGAAAATGCCATTTTCCAGATTATTTTACAGTTAAACCCTCCATGGTATTCTTTTTATGCCATTTGCAACTGTTAAGGGTTAACAACACACCATGGAAAAAAGAGCTGCAAATAAATATCATTCAGTCAAAGACTCAAAGGCATGGAATCCATGATTTAGATTAAAAATTAGAAAGCGGGTTCTGTTACTATATTATTTGAGTCTTTGGTTATGCTTTTCGTTAAGCTTTCTTATTCTATGTTTATGCTATGTAGTTATGTCCTGATGTATTGACATGAACTTTTCGTTTGGTCACTTATTTCTTTCTGTTTGATTTTCATTTTGGTAACGTTTTGTCAAATTTTCTACTGTGCACATGTGCTATATGCTGGAATGTAATGTTTTTCAACATTTGTCTTAGTTTTGTCATTTTTACGTTTTTTTTCCAGGTCAAAGTTTTCCCTGAAGAGGCGGTTAAGAATCCGAACGTTACAGTATGGAACAGCTGGAAACATTAATGAGCTTTATGACAGTGTTGATTCAGAAACCATTTTGTCGATCCTTGTTCACAAGGTAATATTTCTTTTCAAGTAGTTTAGCATGAAGACTTGTACTTTATCATTCAAATGCTATCATAGAAATGCAAGAGAATGTGGGGATGGAAGCTTCTTCTGTTAAAGGTGAACTACTCAAGTAGTTGGGTGAAAATTTTTGTAATGTTTAAATGGCTGCATTTGGATGCAACGGACAATTTAAGTTTTCATCAAATTAGAACATTCGTCTAGACTAAAAAAAAGTCATGAGTTGTATCTTCATATCATACTGCTGCAACCAACATAGAATTTTTCTGGTTCAAAACTAAGAGGTAAAGAACTTTCTTTTAAAGTTGAAAAAAAGCAGTCAAAGCTGTGTTTTCTTTGTATTCTAGTTGTTTGTATGTGTCTTATTAATTCTACATTTATTGCTTTTGTGCCTATGCAGGTTATTCTAGCTTCACTAGAGCAAGGTGTCCGAGAAGGAAGAATGTTGCTTCATGATTGGCTAGTTATTCTTATGGCTCTGTACAATGATGCATATAAACTTGTCCAATATGATAATGGAAATACAACTATGCATGTTGATGTCACCTTCTCACAGTGTCCACAGCTGCAGCCTTTGCCTCGACTTGTATTTGCTTTGTTAAGGAATCATCTTCTCCGCTTTCATGAAGAAGGGGTCCACCCAGATTATCGTATATACTTGCAATGCCTTTTCAGGTATTTGTCACTTGCTCATCTAGCATAGAAGCGTGTATTTTGGTTATATATAAATGTTTCTCATTTTGTCGCTATTATGCATACGTACTGTACTGTGGGGAATTAGTAGGGTGATATTGGATTACTTAGTTCAAGGTTTTTAGCATACTAGTAAAGTGCATGTGCTTTGCACGACACTATACCTGTTTTGTTTTATTTAAAAAAAATTTGTTGGTTGTAAAATACTGTAATAACTTGTATAGCAATATAAATTCTGAACAACTACAAATTTTCAAGTGAATAAATTGTACGATAAAATTGTGTATAAAGAACTGTATGATTAATTATTATAGTTTCGATAATTGTTATAATTTATTCATAATTTATTAAAATAATTATAATATATTAAATAATTTATTCTCTTTTAAATATAATAATATTATACATAGCATAATTATAATATTATTAGTAACTACATTTTAAGTTTATAATTAGTTTATTACACTATAGTAAATAATTTACTAACTTGTATAATTATTAAATTACAATGTAATTTATTAATTTAAAAATACTATTAAAATCATTATACTATTAATACTATAACAATTACAATAAATAAAATTGTTTTTTATATTATTATCATACTTTTAAAAGGGTAATAAGATGAAAGGTAACATGTAGTCCTCCATAAAACGTGAAACTCAAGGGCATAAGACATAAGCCTAATGAATATTTGTTATTTTTAATTTTTCTAGAATTCTAAGTATTATGTGAAGATAAATTAGGGATAAATTGCAAATATTATATTAAATAATATAATTAAATAATAAAATAATAGTGTGACCAAAGGTTTTGAAAAAGTGAGGAAATGCATAATGAATAAAAGGTTATATATAATCAGTGAATGATTAATTACAACTAATGACATACTTGAGAATTATCAAACTTAAAAGGGCAAAAATGAAAATCAAAAGTTTTGACAAGGCAATTTTTTTTATATGTAGTATAGATGATTTAGAGTTAATTGCAGACAACCCTATATGCGCGCAGACAAAAAAGAAAAAAAGGAAAAAAAAAGAGGGGGGGGGGGG